TTTAAGTTTGAAATTTGTGACCATTAGGCCCTGCAAAAGATAGTTTCTCCCACATAAATCCCCAACTTAAGTTCTAAGGCCTTCGAAAAATTTGGGATATTACATAACTTATCTCAAGAATTGCATCATTAAATTTGTTCTTATAATTTTTGAGAAATTCCCCCTCTCACTATATCACCCTCATGAGTTTAGGTGTGGTTGTCTTTATCAACCTTCAGCTAGAGAATTTCGTAGCAAAAGTAGTTTCCATTTCAACATAAGAGTTGATAGGCCACCAAGGCAAATTGTAATACCATGTCCAGGCATTGCCACAAAGAGTTAAGGGAAATATCTTACACATCAAGGCTTTTGGGCTTGCATGCAGAAATAAAAAGCATGTAAATGATCATTTGGGTCCTTAGTTCCATCTTATGTCTTGAATTGGGGCATCTAAAACCCAGCTAGATAAGGTTCTTGAGTAATATTAGCGTTCAAAGGATAGGGCATCAAATTGACATTGGTTTGAGGTGGTAAAACATCTCGTTGTTCAACTACCATTCTTTCCAAATTGTCAAGACATCTAGTAATGTCATCTGGAAAAGCTGGCTAAGGTGGAACTACATGAGATTGGCCTTGTGACTCACTGAGGGCTAAAGCGTCCTTATTGTCATTGGAATGGGCATTATGTGGCTCTTGTTGCTAAGTTAGGGATTATTGAGTTGGATTTAACAAATTGATGAAAAGATCACCAGGATTGTTTCTAGCCAAGAATTAGGCTAACACCAGCTGGAAAACCCCAAACTGTTGTTGCATTGCTGCAAGCTATGTTTGTATTGCATCTCCTTAGATCGAAGCTGGGTTCTAAGGTTGGTTCTTGTTGCCTCCTTCAGTATGCTGTTCCATTTGAGCTACTAGGTTTAGGGTAAATTGCAAGAAATTAGTATTCTTCGCTTGACCTTGACCAAGGGGTTGAGCCTAACTTCCAGTTCCGGCAGAGCGGGTATTAGACAATGCCAAATGTAATTAAAACAAACCAGAAAATCCTTCCCAATCCAAATCTTCTCTTCAAACAGACTTGCAAAGCTCCAAGGTTTGTCCTTGAAGTAGACATTTTGATGCTTAAGTCAACAATAATCTAGTCTACTCTTAAGAAAGAACAGAAAAAGCTTTAGGTCGGTTTCAATTATTTTTAGGAGATGACCCTCAAGGGTATTTATAAGCCTTAATGAGGTATCATGTGGCCTACTTAACAAAATAATCGAGATTTGATGTGTCCTCGAAGGCACAAATCTCGGAGATGAGGGATTGTGTGCATGCATTCTCATTGTAATTGTCATGCAATTGGGAAGAACTCAACTTAAGCTTCAACCCAGCTACCGAGTGATCCAAGCCAAATAACTTGGGGTTTAGGCTTGGTATAAACATAATATGTTCAAGATAAGTGATCTTGGACCTACCTTACATGTATTTTGTTGACAAACGAGCATGATCATAACATTAAGATCACATAAACTTTTTGTATAATTTAATTGTTAAAAATAATTAATAATTATAATTGTTAGTTGATAATAAATAAAAAATTAATATTTATAGTTAAAAATTAAAATTAATTTATAAGTTAATATTTTTAAATATTATAATTACCTATTTAAAGAGAAAACTTAAATATTTTGTGACTTTAATAATATTGTGTGATAATAGAATAATGATAAATGATATCAAAATCTGAGACCAATGATATAAATTAAAATATTAAAAGGTAAACTCTATATTATTTAATAATTAATTTTTTTTTAAACTCATGATATTGTATGTATCAATTAATTTAATAACATAACAAATCACATCAAAAATCTCAAATTTTCATCTTAAATTTTTGTCCTCACTATTATTAGTCATGATAATAATAACACACCAAATTGTATTCTAATTTATGAATTATTATGTGTGAAAGACCCTCGTAGTTCGTAAAAGAAAATAATTTATTTTGCTAATATAAAAAAAGAATATTTCATTTAATCAACAGTGCAATTGATTTTTTTCATTAATCACTTGAACATATTTTTCACTCAAATAGATGGTACTTGCAAAATTATTAATTAATTTAATACAGTATGTTCAAAGATTTCCATAATTATGCAAAATTTTAAATCATTAAATATCAATGTTAGAAAATACAATTTATTCAATTAATAGTTATAATTATAAGATTAGCTATGTCTACGGTCTTAAAATAATTGCTATTTTTTTTAATTTAAAATTAATTTATGTATTTATTTTTATTATTCTAAAAAAATACGTAAAAGATAAATGGAAACCTTTTTTAGAGGATGATTAATTAAAGTAGAAAAAGAATATTTGTCTTCTTTAAAAAATAAAAAATAAAAATTAATTTGAAACAAATTCAAACTAAAAAATTAAGACAGAAAACTATAAATTTAAGAGGTATGACTTATATGAATATATAGAACAATTAATTAAACTGTGAGTGTTCTATTTGTAATTTACACTTCACTAAACTATAAAACAAAAACTAAACTATTAGATGAGGCATAATCCACAATATTAGGATGATCGACTCTATCCGATTGTTTAAGTTGTATGGTCTAATGTAGTTGCCATCCAAAATAAAAAGTTTACCGCAGTCCAAATGACGCAACACATATTCTTTTTTTTTTTTTTGTTATACTTATTTAAATCTTTAATGTAATATAAAACAGCATAGGAAATTATTGATTTAATGCATAGACAGTCACTGCACTTTAGTCAACTACATACCAAAATAAGAAGGCAAAAATATGATATAAGGACCTAAACTTGCACAAAATTTGCAATTTTAAACCCAAACTTTGATTGCGTTCAATTAAGGTCCCAAACTACAAGAAATTTTCAAATAATGTCCCAATTGGATGAAATATTCTCTTACTAGATGGAATATTCTCTTACCATCAAATGTCTTAGATGCCCGTTAACTGTTTGTAACTTTCTACCAACTGGATTACCACATAAAAAAACATGGTAACTTGTCATTGCCACATGGATGCCATGTGAATGCTATTGGTGGGTCCCAATTGCTCTTGAGGAAAATCCCACCAAGAGAAACCATTGGCATCCACATGGCATCCATGTGCCAATGACAAGTTAGTATGTTTTTCATGTGACAATCCAATTGGTGAGAGAGTTAATGACCATCAAAGACATTTGATGGCAAGAGAATATTCCATTTAATTAGGATCTTATTTGAGAATTTCATATAGTTCAAGACCTTAATTGAGCACAATTGAAGTTTGGGTCCAAATTGAGAATTTTGTGCAAGTTTGGGACCTTTTTCCATACTTTTGCCAAATAAGAAAAATATAATTATAATATCATAGGACATTATAACAACATTACATAATATTGTAAGTTTACAATTACAACATATTATTATATAATTGATTGTTTTCATTAAGAGATTTACTTATAATATTATATGCATTTAATTATTAATGAAAAATTATAATTGTAAACTTATAATATTACAAAAAATTATAACTATAACATTCTCATAGCCAAAAACAACTTTCAATAAGAGGTGACTTCCAAAGTACTAAAGTAGTAGCTGTGGGTTCCAACCCAAAATTGATAACAAGACACATCCTTAATCGGATGGATAATGACACATATACTCTAAAAAGTTCCATACCCCGTTACACCTTGACAATCTCTATTACTTCATTTGTTACACACTAATGGTTCACAAAAAATGAGCTACTATTCTAGGCACAAAATAAGAACCTACAAAGCTCCAAATAAAATCTAACTGTTCAGAATATAAATCAATGTCACCTGAACACCCAAACAAAATTTCAACTCAATCCAAATGTTAACTTTTGTAGATCAGACAAAATGGCAAAGCTATACACAGTACTAAAACTGTAGAAAAATAGATCACCAAAAACAAGCTACTGTTCTAGGCACAAAATCAAAACCTGCAAAGCTCCTAACAAAAACCTAACCGTTCAGAATGTAGATCAATATCTCCTAAACACCCCAACAAAATTTCAACTGAATCCAATGGTGAACTTTTGCAGATTGGACAAAATGGCAAAGCAATGCATAGTACCAAAACTGTAGAAATTTCTACTCTTTTCTTTCCCTTTCTTGATAATTGGCTCCACTCACATGCACTTCACTTTCTGCTATATCATCCCAAAAACAAACTTGTTTTATGTGTCTAATAGGCTGCAAAATCAAGGGATAAAACAAGGATGATTTTGTAAGAAAATGAACTCTTCTCAAGATACTAAAGACTCAAGATTATGATTTGGTGCTTGAATGTACTGTCTAACCGGAACAACAAGCAAGAGAAAGGAAAGTAGAGAGAGAAAGAAAGGGCTTGGTGCATTTGAGGAGTTACGAGGGAAGTATGTAATGGATTAAGTAACAGAAATTATCAATGTGTAACAGAATGTGTAATTTTGTAAGATGTATATATCCTTATCCTAAATGGATTTATGTAGAGAAAGTCATATATTATTATAGGACTGTAGAAAATTATGACGTTTTAGCAATTAAAATATTAAGTATGATAATAAAAATATTTAAATATTTTTAATAAATCAACATGCAAAGAAAGTTTACTTAGGCTATTTGAATAATTTTAGATGCAGTCATATGATATTTTAAATGTTAGGATGTATTAATTTTCGCTTTTTCAATCTTTTTAACTATGTGATTTTGTAACTGAATTTTTCCCTATCCAATCCTCATTCCTCATGATAATGCTATACTACTAATACCACATAAGTAACATAGCAAGCTCTGATCAGTAATTCTCCTTTTCAAATTGAATTTGCAATCTTGTTGCTTGTTTGAGGAAAGGTATCAACAGGGGAACAAATTTGTTATAGGATTTATGGGTTGAAATGTTGTATGTGTAATCAATCTACAAGGAACTACTGTTTTGTAAGTTGAGGCTAAGAGAACTTCTTATACTTTATAAGTTAATAAATGTATTTTTTTACCTTTTAAGAAAAAGAAGTTATAGTAGTATGTAAGATTGTAAATTTATAATTATTCCGTAACATTAAATAAATATAATCATTCGATTATAAATGAATGGATGCACATGTGATGAATATAATCATATGATATTATTAAATGAATAGATGATCATGATATCGCATGTGAACCTTTAAATAAAAAAATTAATTATATAATAAAATATTATATTATAAAGTAGATTTTAACCATCAATTTCGTGCTTATAAAAAAAAATCGTATAGCGTTTTCGTTTGTCTAATATTGTTTAGGTTTTTCTAATTTACATCCATGTAAGGGATAAACAAAAATAAAAAATAAAAAATAAAAAAAATGAACTTACTCACTTACATATTGATCCTTTGTCCACAATGTCAGCAATTTGGCCGAACGTGACACAGGGAAACCAAAATGTCATGCAACCTGCAAAATAAATTAACAGGAGAAGAAAAATGATCCACTGCACCTTTTAATTAATGGTCTTTAAAGACCAAGAAGCTAGCATTTTCAAGGGGAAACTTACAGTTTGGAATGTCGGAGAAGCAGTCACAGAGGCCAGAGGACCAGGGGCCTTCAGTTCCAGACTGAAGAAGAGGTGGAGGCGGTGCTGCCGATTCATGTTGTGCGTAGTATCGGGCCCCGTAGTATTGCAGGTTGGTGCGCTAGCTGGAACTCCGTACGCTGGTGGCTGGGCATAGGCCGCAGGCGGAGGCAGTTTTGAGGGCTCCTGATCATAAGGAACATTGTGGATTGAGTAGTACATGGGGAGTAGTACATGGTGATGGATGGCTGGATGGATGGATACTTAAGAAGAAATGGATGGCCTCATGGATTTTTGTGTTCAAATAAATATATAGTAAAGGGAGATGGATTCCGTGTGAAGACAGCTGAATTCGTATACATTTACAGGTCTTATCTCATTTTAGACCGCAAGCCAGGTCCAGGCATGACCTTGTGGTTAGTTCTACACGCGATGTTGTTTTTATTCATTGTCACTGTCAGTAGTTTCTGATATTCTGGTTTGAAAAATGATTTGTATATTTTTTATTTAAGGTATTTTTTAATATAATTTTAGTTTAATTATTAAAATATAATATAAATTCAATCAATATAATTAATTTTTATATTTTATATGTAAATTATATTTTTAAATTTATTTATTTTTAATTTTAAACTAAAAATATAATTTTTTAATAAATATATTATGTATTGTATTAAATTAGAATATTTATCAATCATTATTCTTCTTATTTTTCTACTCTTCGAAAGTAATTCCTTATTGAGATTAATTACTTATTAAGAGATTGTAAAGATATACTTGCACGTCAGCCTATTACATTGAAAAAAACTAATTTTCTTCAAGTTATGTTTAGAATGATTATAGTTTTATAAGTTTTTTTTTTTTTTTAAGATTTAAACAATCAAAATTAATAATTAGAATTCAAAATTAAAAATTAAAATTACTAACTTATTAGGTATAAAATTTTAAAACAAGTACCTAAATTTCTAAACTTAATTAATTTATAAAACTATTTAATTTTTATTCTAAGATTTTTAAATTTTTAAAAACTAAAACCGAAAATTTAAAATCATAATCATATTAAACGAAAGCTAAAGTGTTGATCTAAAAACTTAAATCTAAATCTAATCTACAAGATG